TTAATTATTGGTACTAATCCAAACTTTGAGGAAGTAACACATTGAAATTCAGTAACAAAGTGGTTTTGCTTTCATTAAATTACAAATAGGAGCCTTGTAGTTTTATGTTACAACTGAAATGTGATTAGTATTTTGTTTTCCAAGGAATGCTCAGAGTTATTCAGGCCTCAACATTTCATGGCTTCCTGTAAGCTTGGCAGTCTTCTAAATTCTCTTCATAATGGTTGAGATGTATAAGCATTGATATTTAAACTTGGTAGCAATACAGGTGTATTCTTCATTTGGTAGACTACAAGTCCTTTCAGTTACTTGTTTGGTTTTGGCTAATTCATCACAATACTGAAATACATGAAAAACTTCACTCTTGATTGGCTGAAAACAGCTAGGTGCCTTTTTCATGTATCACTAGTGCAAAACCCAAGTGCAAAATGTAAACTAGGCTCATGCAGCAACAATATATTACACTAGAAACCAATAAGATCTACATGAAGTAGGTTATTGTGCTGATTGATACACACAGTAGCTGACCAAAATAAACAAAAGCTTGAATATTTTTATGTATGTTGATAAACACTAACAAAATTGCATTCCTAAGTCATATTTCAGCTGAAAAACAAATTCTGATAGCATATCAAGTTGACCATTTACATGATGTTAAGTTCACTTATTTATTTCATGTCTCCACATACCAGAAGCTTGAATTTGGGAAACATACTGGCATGAAATTACAATTTCATTAATAAGAAAACTTGAAAAATTCTGGGTCTTTAAATCATATGATACTATTATGTACTTGCCTGTACATTAAACCCTGTTTATGTTTAAGTTATGTCTCTGATTACTGTACCTGAAATCTATTATGGTGACACTCTATGTCTGTTGAACTTTCTGTTAAATAAAACCTCCAGGTCAAATTGTAAAACTTATTGGGTTAAAAATTATTAGCAATGTTAATGTAAGTTTACTTCAGAGTACTACACAACATATGATTCATTAAGATATTACATGTGTTCTGAGTCTTGTTAATACACCTATCTTTTTCCCCTAAATTCTTCCATTTGCAACCCCATATCCACCTACCTCAACTGACTTTTTCTGTGTTCTTTATTGAAAATACAGCCAAACCCAAATACAATAACTGCAATAATTGTTTTGTTCTCAACCGGCTGAAAATGGAACTTTGTGCTCTGATGGAAAATAGAAACCTACGCTCAGCATTGTGTTACTTTACGTGAATGTCTTGTCCAAAATCAGTTATATATTCTGACCGAATCAAGCTCCCAATGGCTTCTAGTGTAGATTACATCATTTCCCTAATGTCCTGGCCCTTCTGCAAAGTTTTGTCGTCGCGTACTCGTACACGTACACAAAATGCCAAAAATATTTATATGAAATACTTCCCTAGAGTTAATTTCACATCACTTGCCTTGGAAAAGACAATTAACCTACAAACTTCAGAACTAAATTCCACTTCGTTACGTAAACAAAATCAAGACTGAATCTCTCAAGCCACTCTGGGAGATGATGCTGACGTTTTTCTTAGTTCCTAAAACCCCCAGGTTACATGTGCAACCTTTGTTGTTAAAATGAGACCTCCATGACAAAGTTTGGTCGCATTTCAGGACTATTGTATGCTAGTTATCTCGTTTTATTGATGAACGGGAACAATATTGAAAGCTATCTAGCCGTAGTCAGATAT